ATGTTATTTCTGAGGGCTCTGTTCTGTTCCATTGATCTATATCTGTTTTGATATCAGTACTATGCTGTTTTGGTTACTATAGCCTTGTAGTATAGTTTGAAGTCAGGTAGTGTGATACCTCCAGCTTTGTTCTTTTTGCTTAGGATTGTCTTGGCTATGTGGGCTCTTTTTTGGTTCTATATGAAATTTAAAGTGTTTTTTTTTTTTTCCAATTCTGTGATGAAAGTCGATGGTAGCTTGATGGGGATAGCATTGAATCTATAAATTACTTTGGGCAGTATGGCCATTTTCACAATATTGATTCTTCCTATCCATAAGCATGTAATGTTTTTCCATTTGTTTGTGTCCTCTCTTGTTTCCTTGAGCAGTGGCTAGTAGTTCTCCTTGAAGAGGTCCATCACATCCCTTGTAAGTTGTATTCCTAGGTATTTTATTCTCTTTGTAGCAATTGTGAATGGGAGTTCACTCATGATCTGGCTCTCTGTTGTCTGTTATTGGTGTATAGGAATGCTTGTGGTATTTGCAGACTGATTTTTGTATCCTGAGACTTTGCTGAAGTTGCTTATCAGCCTAAGAAGATTTGGGTCTGAGACGATGGGATCTTCTAAATACACAATCATGTCATCTGCAAACAGAAACAATTTAACTTTCTCTTTTCCTAGTTGAATATCCTTTATTATTTTTCTCTTGCCTGATTGCCTTGGCCAGAACTTCCAATAATATGTTAAATAGTAGTGGTGAGAGAGGGCATGCTTGTCTTGTGCTGGTTTGCAATGGGAATGCTTCCAGTTTTTGCCCATACACTATGATATTGGCTGTGGGTTTGGCATAAAAAGCTCTTATTATTTTCAGACACATTCCATCAATACCTAGTTTATTGAGAGTTTTTAGCAAGAAGGACTGTTGAATTTTGTCAAAGGCCTTCTCTGCATCTATTAAGATAATCACGTGGTTTTTGCCATTGGTTCTGTTTATATGATAAATTACATTTATTGGTTGGCGTATGGTGAACCAGCCTTGCATCCCAGGGATGAAGCCAACTTGAACATGGTGGATAAGCTTTTTAGTGTGCTGCTAAATTTGGTTTTCCAATATTTTATTGAGGATTTTCACATCGAAGTTCATCAGGGATATTGGCCTGAAGTTTACTTTTTTGGTTGTGTCTCTGCCAGGTTTTGGTATCAGGATGATGCTGGCCTCATAAAATGAGTTAGGGAGGATTCTCTCTTTTTCTATTGGAAAAAAACTGTTTGAAATAGTTTCAGAAGGAATGGTACCAGCTCCTCTTTGTACCTCTGGTAGAATTTGGCTGTGAATTCATCTGGTCCTGGGCTTTTTTTGGTTGGTAGGCTATTAATTACTGCCTCAATTTCAGAACTTGATATTGGTCTATTTAGGCATTCCACTTCTTCCTGGTTTAGTCTTGAGAGGGCGTATGTGTCCAGGAATTTATTCATTTCTTCTAGATTTTCTAGTTTACTTGCATAGACATGTTTCTGGTATTTGCTGATGGTAGTTTATATTTCTGTGGGATTGGTGGTGATATCCCCTTTATCATTTTTTATTGTATCTATTTGATTCTTCTCTTTTTTCTTCATTAGTCTGGCTAGTAGTATTTTTTTTTATCTTTTCAAAAAAGCAGCTCCTGGAGTCATTGATTTTTTGAAGAGTTTTTCATGTCTCTATCTCCTTCAGTTCTGCTCTGATCTAGTTATTTCTTTTGTCTGCTAGATTTTGAATTTATTTGCTCTTGTTTCTATAGTTTTTTTAATTGTGATGTTAGGCTGTCGATTTTAGATTTTTCCTGTTTTCTCTTGTGGGCATTTAGTGTTATAAATTTCCCTCTTCACACTGCTTTAAATGTGTCCCAGAGATTTGGGTACATTGTTTTTCTTTCTCATTGGTTTCAAAGAACACCTTTATTTCGGTTGGCAGGCTATTTAAAGTTTAGAAAGAAAAGACTATGCTGAGCCTCAGGGGGTAGATAGGATGAGCAATTTTTTTCTTTTATTTTTTTAAGGAAATGATAATTATTTAAATTTCTTTGGTCTCATTTTCAGAGACCTGTCCTTCTCCTGGTCACCTCACTCAGCCTCCATATGATCTTATTGTAAACATCAAGTTTCCTGCTAGACTTGACTTAACTATAATTCATTTGCTGCAGTTTTTCATAAACACCTATGAATCAAAGACATGGAATTACCTTAGATTAGCTCTGGACCAGCCTGTTGGACCAGCTCTGGACCAACCCTGTTTCCTGAGTTTGGGACTGTGGTACAATCTCAAACTCTCAACCTACCACCCCTTCCTGCCCCACCTCTCCTCTTCCTGTAATACAAGCCACAGAAGCCGGGAGCAAATGTTTCTGCAGTCGTCTCTGTGCTTTGACTCAGTTGTCACTTGAAATACCAGTGAACCAAAGAGACTGGAGCATCTGACTCACAAGAAGACCTGACTGTGGAGAAATAAAAATACCTCTTTATTTTTGGATCGAAGGAAGGCTTTCTCTACTTTGTTGGGAAGCAGGTGGCATCTCTAACTGTAAGGAATTCCTGTGGCATCTTCTGGAGTCTCCAGTGGTTCTGCTGATGAGGCCTTTTGGATCTCTGCTGCTGAGGCTTCCAGAGGCCTCTGGATGGCACCAGAGGCTGCATAAGGCCAAGAATCAAGCCAGGAGGTCACATGTCACTGTGGACCTTCCTGCTACCAGTCACTGTCCCACAAAGGACTCAAAGACCAATATTCAAATGTATAATTAAAAGAATTTTCCCCAAATGCCATGTCCCTCCATTTGACCGTTTGTTCAGTAAGGTCTGTATATACCACATTGGTTACCATCAGTGTAATAGCACATAATTATGGTTGTTCCATTTATACCTCCACCCTTCAGTCAGTCAGCAAATATGTATCACACAGCCTCCACTCCAAGAGAAAATTAGAAAAACAGAAAAAATTTTCATCACCTTAATGTTTTATAGGGAAGAACAAATGTGCTTTACATGTTCTTTAAATCACATGTTTAGTAAATAGGTCTTTGAAAGTTATACAGTGTTTACTTGGAACTGATGTAAAAAAAATAGAGAACTGAAAATTATAGTACTCATCTTGTCTCTGTGAAATGTAATGCAATAAATATGTCATGTAGACTGTATATACCTAAGCAAACATGCAAATAAAAAAGCAGCCTAATCAAAGGTTACAATAATGTTGCAACAATTTTGGTAGTAACCTTAGGATTTAGGGGCACAGTGCTTTCAAAAAGTTTCTCTGATACACTGCCAGTAGCACCTCTTACTGCTTATTTATATGTCAATCACTAGGCTAGGTATTCTAGGACTTTGGTCTCAACCCTGTTTTCTGAATCAGAATCTGCATTTTGTAAAAGTTCCCCAGGGACTTTTTTTCTGATGTTCTACCAACTTTGGGAGCCAATGATAATATTACAGATAAAGAAGTTTAAGCAGCTGTTCAATTAGGGAGATAATAGATACCTACGAGGAATAATAAAAGGTAATTAACATGATTACATAATTTGAATAGTGTTGTAATAGTTCCTAAGATAGAAAAGTCAATTTGAGCCCAGAATCTGAGAGACAGGCAGAACTCTGGACCATAAAGAATGGCCCAGTAAAGAGGAAGAAAATGAGCCTTCTAAGCCGGTAGAATAATACCAGCACAGGAGCAAAGACAGAATATCGTGGCGAGTGGAGAGGGAGGAAGAGGCTGTTTATAAGCCTGATATCATTAACAGAGACCTCATGTGAGATGCCAGATGACAATTTATTGAATGTACTGAATGCATAAAGCATAAGACAGAAACTTGGAGCCATGCAGATACAGGGAACCCAGGACAAGTCATTATGATGCTTCAGATAATATAAATCTCAGATTCTCTGTGAATAGCAAAGTAAGATTTAAGGTGATATGAAACAGCCAGATCCTTCAAGAAATACAAAATACAAAGGGTCCTGGAGACAGGAAAATATGATCATAGTAATAAATTTATGCTATGTGCTTGCTTTCTTTTCTTTTTCTTCTTCCTATTATTTTTTTTTGAGATTGAGTTTCACTCTTGTTGCCCAGGCTGTAGTGAAATGACATGATATCAGCTCATTGCAACCACTGCATTCTGGGTTTAAGCAATTCTCTTGCCTCAGTCCCTCGAGTAGCTGGGATTACAGGCATCTGCCACCACGCCCAGCTAATTTTTTGTGTTTTTAGTAGAGATGGAGTTTCACCATGTTGGCCAGGCTGATGTCGAACTCCTGACCTCAGGTGATCCACCTGCCTCCACCTCCCAAAGTGCTGGGATTACAGGTGTGAGCCACTGCGTCCGGCCGCTGTGTGCTTTCTAAGTCCTGGAACTATAGTTTACAGTAGATTTTATCCTTCCAACATACCCTATCAGGAAAAACTCTTATTGTCATCCTTATTTCACAGACGTCAAAACTGAACAGAGAGGTAGAGTAACTTGCCCAAGACAACACAGCTAGTAAGTGAAACTGAAATCTGGACAACTGATTTTTTTTTAGCCAAGCTCTTTAAGCCCTCTGCTATGCTATGGCTTAGCTGGTGACAGGCTCTTATCAAGGCAGAACTGTGCCTTGGTAGAAGCCAGGAAAGCAATTCAGAGCAGTAGGCCTTGCTCATGTGCTTGTTCCCTGCTTCTTCACCACCTGAAAATAGTGTTTCAGTGCTGGTAACAGGGCACAAAACCCTTTCCCTCAGATCAAGAGGGGAGCCATCTGCTTAAGGTGGTTGGGAACCACTGCACTGCACAGACGGTTCTGCAAGTGTGAGCTTGGACCCAAGCAGGCTTCAGGTGAGTGGTAGGGGCAACTGCTCCCGTGGTGTTGGCGGGTGGAACTGGAGGAATACAGCTTTGTCTGGCTCATGAATCCCTGGGCACTGTCCCACCTGCTAGAGCCACTGATCTCTGCCCCTTCTTCACCTGTAGTAAACAATCACTAGTTTGGTTGCTCTCCAATACCTCTGGTCACCGGGAGCAGTGATCTCACCAAGCCCCCGCCCAGAAAAGCCCCAGAAAAAGGGGAGGGAGAAAGAGCCAGAGGCTGCCGCTGCAGTTTGGAGGAACCGAATGGGAGGAGGACGCTGCCACCCACAGCCTCCAGGGCTCATTGCAGCTGGGACAGCCCGGAGTGGGGTTAGTCAGCAGCTCGGCAAGCGCTGCCCAGGCCCTGGGGTGGTGGCAGCCAGCGGGAGCAGGAAAGGAAGCATGTTCCCAGGCTGTCCACGAGTCTGGGTCCTGGTGGTCTTGGGCACCAGCTGGGTAGGCTGGGGAAGCCAAGGGACAGAAGCGGCACAGCTAAGGCAGTTCTACGTGGCTGCTCAGGGCATCAGTTGGAGCTACCGACCTGAGCCCACAAACGCAAGGTAACTCAGGTGTGGAGTCTGGGTGGGCTTCTCTAGAGAGGATACTCTATTTCTTTTAGAGAACATTCCCTTTGCAATGTCATTTATTTATTTATTTATTTAACTTCAGGTAAGTAAATATAACTAACAGGAGAGTACAGAATTAAATAAACTGGGTGGATGCTAATTTTGTCTCCAATAATACAGTTTATAATTCTGAGGGTATAGAAAACATTAAATTTGATTGGTTAGATGTTGCTTTCAAGAGTTTATTTTCAATACAGTTTTGTTCGTATGTTTGTGTTGGGTTAATGTGTTGGTTAATTCAAAGGCTCCAGGTACTTGCTCCCTCATTAGCTCTTCCTGCAAACTCCTGTTCCAGGTTTTTAGTTGTACAGTATTTTTATGAGACTCCTAGTTACATATTATTTATTCCATTGTCTACATAGCTTCATCTTCTAAAACTAAAAATGAACACCTTGTGCTTTTTGTCATATAATTTTGTTGCTGCCTTATAAATGATTTATAAATGATTTACAAAGTATCATTCGTTTGGCCAGGGCAGTGGCTCATGCCTATAATCCCAGCATTTTGGAAGGCCGAGGCAGGCAGATCGTCTGAGGTCAGGAGTTCAAAACTAGCCTGACCAACATGGCGATGCCCCATCTCTACTAAAAATACGAAAAGAAATTAGCTCACACCTATAGTCCCAGCTACTCGGGAAACTGAGGCAGGAGAATCGCTTGAACCTGGTTGGAGGAGGTTGCAGTGAGCTAAGATGAGGCCACTGCACTCCAGACTGGGCAAAAGAGCAAGACTCCATCTCAAAATATCATCAGTTCATAGAAATACAACATTTTTGTACTTTCACCTTTTTTCTGCTTCATATTTGACTTATTTATCCTATTGAAAGTGACTCTTAATTTTTTTCTCTCTGTTAATCATATTCTGGGATATGGTTTACCCTAGCTATTTAAAGGTGTATGTAACTAAGAAGAGGTTTAATTCATATAAAATACTATCCTTGAGTTGCAAACTATTTTTTCTAATTGAATGTTATAAATAAGACTTCTCAGAAATTAACAAAATCAGAGTCTATTCAATATTTCCAGTTAGTCATTTTTTTAAATAGTAAACCAGCTAGTGTGACTCATTTTTTTTCTTTACATCACAGTTTATTATGAAAGATGTGTTCCTCTTTTACAAGTACAAAACCAAAGTAATCTGTCAAAAAGTAATGCAACATTTTGAGATCTTTTAGTGTATAATTTAACCCTTTAAAAACTTTCATTGTAATTGGGTTATTTTGGAATGTACTACATATCATTTTGGTCTTATAATAATAAGAGCTCCCGCCTTTTCAAAAATAATAATCTTAAATATTATACCTTAAAGTAATAATCTAGGTCACACTCACATCCTTAGGGAACTGCCATAAGCTAAAACCTCAAAGGAAATAACAGTGCTTCTAACACTAATCTTGCCTGCTTATGAGTGGAATGCAAACTGGGTTTCTGGCTTTCTTGTACCATGCTGTGTTTATGCTTGGGAGTTTTTCTTTTGTCTGTAGTTAGCATTGAAAATAGCAGGCAAAATGCTGGAGGCAGTACCACATAGGGCAAAGGTCAGATTCACATGGTAAGTACACAGGGAACCACGACTGGTCATTCTGTCCCCTCACTCTGTGGGTAAGTTTCCAAAGTTCTGGAGAATCATTCCTCTGGTAGCAATTGTTGAGTCAAAACCATAGAACGGCAACCTAGACAAATTGTCAATATTGTTTAACCCCAAATCATATTATTTCTTCCTAGTATTTTCTTACGAAACATCTAATCCATGTATCTGGCTGCTTAAACTAAGAACTTGTTCTAACTTGTTCTGCCCCTAGAGCTACGATACTTACTAGATGAATATCAACATAGACAACTCCATCTTTTGCCAAAGTGTATTTTAGCACAAAGCAGAAATCTGTCTACTTATTTCATATAATATTAGCAGGACAAAGCCTTTTAAAGGTAAACTATCTATTATTCTTGCTCCAAGTCTAAGGTGAACACTTTCAAAAATTCCTTAAGAAAATGTTTTTAGTCTCTCACACGTATATACAAAGACATATTAAAGAAAAGATGTACATACATTTTCCTTCTAGAGTTCTACCTTGATATAACTTTGTGATTATGAACAAATCATCTTTAAACCGTCCTTATAAATTGAAAACTCATCATATACATTGTTTGAAATCATATCATCTGTAACTTTTTAATCAGATTATTTTCCAATAAAAATTGTTCAGATCAAAATAGACATACTTCAGTATGAATACACAGCATACTCAGTAAAACATGTTAGAAAACATCTCTCTGTTGAAATTACTCCACATTAGAGACTGATATTTTTCAGTGAAGATTTTATACTATCATCTACATTTCTGTATTTAAAGATCTGAGGCAGGGGAGGACGATAACTTTTCAATTATACCAAAAGTAAATAAATAAAAATGGACTTCCACATTAGGGACATTAGTACATAGAATCCTAGAATTCTTGAGTTATAGGAATTCTAAGAGGTCATTTAATTCATTTTCTGCTTCCATGTTTTAACTTCCATGTTTCTACTTCTACTTTTCCCCTTGCCCTCAGCACCAATGATCTTACCAAGTGGTTGTCTAATTGCTACTTGAATGCTGCCAGTGACGGAGAATCCACTACCTTCTACATCCAGCCATTCTAAAAGTACTTATATGCGTCCTTTAATTCTGTCCCCACACATCAACACAGTTCCTGTATTCCACATACTAATATTTGTGAGCATTACTATAATTACAGATTTGTTTTTGCTTTCTGTGAAAACCTGAAAGCTAAAGACTAACTCATTACATTTACAAAATAACGTTACGGGCTAACATGTATTGAGTGTTTCTAGTATGTCACTTCTTATGCCTTTTGCACATATCAACTTATTTAATATTATACAACAATCCTGTGAGGAAGATTTCAGTATTAATCCCGTCTTACAGTTGTAGAAACTGTAAGGCAGAAATGGATTAAGTCAACTTTTCAAGGTAAAACACGAAGAGGTAGATCTAGGATTCAAATCCAGACACTGAGTTCAGAGCCCGCATTGTAGTCACTGTGCTGTACAGAAGTCATGGCATATGTGGATGGTGTTTTGTCTTGATTATGGCTGGGCCACTGTCCCTGCATTAGGAAGCAAAACAAAGCCAGTCTGATCAACTGACTTTAGACATTTGTTAGGTATTTTCTCCAAATTCTCTTTCCTTTAACCTCATCTTTGAGTTGGAGACAAGGATAAGAATGATGTGCCTTTAGAGGCACAGAACAATCACAACAGCAACAGGAAAGCAGCCCACCACTCACAGCTCTCCCTGCTGCCTGTCTTCTATTTGTCGTTGTTGTTTTTTAATGATAAATGCAGCTGTTTCACATTTTGAAATCTTGGTTCTGCCATTTATCAACTGTATCTCTTGGACAAGTTACTTACCCTGTCCAAAACAGTTTTTTCATTTGTTTGTTTCCAGTATGAATCCCAGGGCTTTTACCCAATTAGCCATCTCTCACCTCTCAACTAGAAATCAATTCCATCAAATCAGTAATTTTTTATGATGTTCCTCAGTAGATTAAAACTACATTTGATTGATCAGTTGAAGAACGACTCATATATTTATTCATAAAGGATTTGGTCATATTTTAATCATGTAAAATCTAAACCTAAAGTTTGGGTTTACACTATGATTTGGGTTCTCTTTTTAGAAAATTGATTCTGAGAAATGATATTAGGGTAGATTAACTTGTGAACAAATAGGTATCACAACAGGATACTTTTGAAGAGACCAATAATTATTTCATTAACTTTATCAATCATATTTCTAAAACTGTGGGCTTCTGAAATAAAATAAAGATACTAGTATTCTACTAGAAGTCTGAGGATATGCGAGAACTACTTTTTTTGTAATGTGAGAAATGGATGTTGAATATGCCTTTCAAATTAGTTTTTGCATTTTATTTCCAGTTTGAATCATTCTGCAACTTCCTTCAAGAAAATTGTCTACAGAGAGTATGAACCATATTTTAAGAAAGAAAAACCACAATCTAGCATTTCAGGTAAGCCTGAAATATACTTTTTTAAATTTTAAAGATAAATTTCTACAGGTAATTTGGCATTCATATCCATCTAAAATATCCATTTACTGAAATTTTATAGAAATGTGTTGTGGGTTTTTTTTAACAAGTACTGGCTACATAACATGTGGGGCCCAGTGCAAAACGAAAATGTGGATCCTCTTATTCATATTATTGAAAATTTCAAAGTAGTGACTGTTAATCACTAATGCATTAATCCAAGCCAGGGGCCCTTCTGAGCATGGGCCTTGTGAAACTGCCCAGGTCACATACCCATGAAGCTGGTTCTGTTTTTAACCCTGATTAAAATAGCTAAATAAAATGTTTAAGTGTTTGAATTTTTATCAATTCATTTAAAAACTATTACTGAGTACTTGGTATGGGCTGGACATTGAGTTAGGTACTGTGGATTCAACAGTGGACAAGACAGTCTCATATCCTGCATTCATGGAGATTATGGTCTAGTTTAATGAGCACGGATATGCCTTAACAGAATGATTTTTGCTTTCATTTGGCTCCCAAGATTCATTCAAAGGAACTATGTAGGACTGATTCCTTTGTGTCTCTTTCCCATCTGTTCTCTTGTTTATTTAATGTGATATATACAATAGCCATGACTTTTTATTTATTTATTTGAGATAGAGTTTTGCTCTGTTACCAGGCTGGAGTGCAGTGATGAGATCTTGGCTCACTGCAACTTCCAACTTCCTGGTTCAAGCTATTCTCCTGCCTCAGCCTCCCAAGTAGCTAGGATTACAGACACATGCCACCATGCCCAGCTAATTTTTGTATTTTTAGTAGAGATGGGGTTTCACCATGTAAGCCAGGATGGTCTCAATCTCCTGACCTTGTGATCCACCTACCTCTACCTCCCAAAGTACTGGGATTATAGGAGTGAGCCACCGCACCCAGCCAATAGCTGTGATTTTTAAAGAAAATCTTTTTTCCTCCTCTCTCCTTTTATCAAGAAGACTGGGTTGAATCGTGTTCTAATATCTTAACTATGATACTATATTACACAGGGATGATAGAGACCATCAAGGGAGAACTTCCTCCAGTTGAGTCCCCTTGTCAGTAATTCACCTGCTGATTTCCCCAGTCAAATGTAGACCTGCCGTCTTTCCCAGAATCATCCCAGGCTGTCCTGCCTCTTCTCATTTCCCTTAATCTTCCATCTTTACTCAATGGGAGTCTTCCTTTCAGTTAAAAATCAACAACAAAACCAAACCAAACCATGTTCAGGTTAACGCCTATCTAGGAAAAGAAAAAAAAATCTCCCCTTGACCCTGCCTGCCTTTTCCTTTTCTCTCCTTTCCTTCACCACCAGTCTTCTGTATGAGGGCTGTATATCACTCTCTACATTTCTTCGCCTATATTCCTTCCCTAATCTGCTTTACTATGAATGAGTCTACTAAAATTACTCTCACAAAAGGGAACTCATGACTTGAGATGCCAGAGCCTGTGTTCGTTGACTACCAGACGTTACTAGGACATTTAACCATTTCCCTTTTGGAGCTCTCTTTTTACCTGTTTTTTTTCTGGTGCCACTTCCCCTGAGTTTGCTCAGACCTCTCTTACCACTCCTGCTCGGTATTCCCACCAGATATTCTTCCCCAGGGTTCCAGTCTCATCCAAAACCAAGGCTTTCACTACTACCTACCCAGAAGCTACTTTCTGTCTGAAGTTACATTGACATCCCCTCAATACCAGCAGAATTAAATCTTCCCTCTCTATATGCCCCCAGTACCTTGAATTAATTCCTACCTTCTGAAGACGTTATGAGGATCAATCGAGTTAACAAGTACAAAGTATTTGTAATAATGCTGACACGTAATAAACACTCAGAAGTTAGCTACATTGTTATTGTTGCTGTTATTATCAATCATACCTCAGATCATATATATCATTGTATTATAGATGTCTATCTATATTTCTCTACTCATTTATATATTCTTCACAAGTGTTCATTTATATATTTATTTAATTTAAAACAAATCTGCATTTAAATATTCTTTTACTTTTAAATAATTGTATATTGAGACCAGGCGTGGTGGCTCACGCACTTTGGGAGGCTAAGGAGGATAGATTACTTGAGATCAGGAGTTCCAGACAGCCTAGCCAACATGGTGAAACCCTGTCTCTACTAAAAACACAAAAATTAGATGCACATGGTGGTGCATGCCTGTAGTCCTAGCTAGGCAAGAGGATCGCTTAAAACAAGAGGATCACTTGAGCCCAGGAGTTTGAGGATGTTGTGAGTTATGATCACACCACTGCACTCCAGCCTGGGTGACAAAGTAAGTCCTCATCTCTAATTAATTAATTAATTAAATTGGCTAGTTTTGAGTCTCCACATTTTTCAGGGACAAATTATAACATGTTTGTCCCTGAAGGAGTTTTGAAATAGCTGCAGTAACGACTGCCTTGTATTAATGTAATGCATTGTTCACCTAAGAGCAGGGGATTGGATTAACCGACCTCCTGCAGTCCTTTCCAGTCCCACAACTGCACTAAATAGGGTACATGCTGTGCTGCCTTCCCCAAGCTCTGAAGTAGGCCACTCCTTTCCCCAATCCAGCTTTAGGCACTGAGGAGAGGGTGTGAAGGATCTTAGGCCATCTGGCTGATGGAGGAGCTAAAGAGCAGCTTGAAAACCATTTAGCCATGTGTTTCCCTACATGCTTCAAGGTATTTAGCATGCATTTATGAAAACATCCTTTTGTTTTGCCTTAATTCTGAAGAGGCAGGAGGGGAGGTTGAATAAATACTCCAAACTGTCCACTAAAGCAAGAGGTCTTATTGGGTTAAATAACTTAGGAGACTTACTCTGGACATCTGGTATTTGCAGCCATGTGATACCAACAAACAAATCAGCCAAGCAAGAGAACCATGGCAACTAAATGTGGCACACAGTTGGCAGCATAGTCAGCACCCTGTTGGGCTCCTTGGCAGCTGGGGTAGGTGGGAATAGTCCACAGAAATTTCCATCAGGAGCCAGGACAGAGTTTCCAATAGTCCATGGAAACTTCCATCAGCAGCCAGAAGAGTAGAGTCAGACAGTGAAGTCAGACATATCAGGAGTCAAAAGATGTGTAGACATCTGGACTATTCTATAAAGATGGGGGCCTGAAACTGCCCCATGAAAGGAACAGGGAGAGCTTTGGCTCAGGAGTCCAGATATCTCAGTTCTGATCCCAGGAATGCTATCAGACCACTGACTGACCTTGGGCAAGTCATCTTTGCCTCCCTCCATTCCTACTGTCCAGGCTTTGTTAACTGTCTTTAAAATAAGGACTGAACTTTGTAACCCCCACAGTCCTGTGTAGAGCCAACATAAAAACAAACAAAAAGCTTCAGGCACAAGGTCAGCATAAACTCCAGGCCGAGTAGTTCAAGGAAAGAGACAGGACAACTGTGGTTGGCAAGATACGGATAGGGAAAGGCAGGACCTCTGTCCCAGGGATCAGAGTTTACCATTGCTGCTCTAACCAGCTACTACAAACTTAGTGGCTAAAACACAAATTTATTCTCTTACAATTATATTTCTGCAGATCAGAAGTCCAAAAATGGGTTTTATTGGGCTAAAATCAAGGTATTGGCAGAGCTGCATTCCTTTTGGATGCCCTGGAGGAGAATCGTTTCCTTGTCTTTTTCAGTGACTGGAAGCTGCCTACACTCATGGGCACATGGCCCCTTCCTCCCTCTTCAAATCCAGCTGAGTTACATCTTCCAGGCTTTTCCTAACTCAGATTCTCCTGCATCCCTCTGATGAGGACCTTTGTGATTACACGGGATCCACCTGGACAGTGAGGAAAATCTTATCTCAAGATTCTTAATTATAGATACACAGTCCTTTTGCCATATACACTAGCATATCCCCAGGTCCCAGAGATTAGAATGTGGACATCTCAGCAGAAGCACGTCATTCTGCCCACTACATCCACCAAACAAAGCCCTCCCATGGTGTCCTCCCTCTCCGAGAATAGTGCCCTTCTCCACCCAGCTCCCCAAACCATAACCTCATCAGTCATCCATGGCGACGGATGTCCCTCATTATCCACCCCGCATCCAATCCATCCTCTAGTTCCAACTATTTAATCTCCTAAATAGATTGCTAATATATTCTTTCCTTATCATCTCATCTTATCTCAATTACCACCATTTCTCTCCTGGAGCCTTCTGTCTGTTCTCTCAAATGTTCTCCACTCGGTTTCCTCCCAGATCATCCTCCATAAATGCAGCCAGAGATTTTAAAACCAAAATCTGGTCAATGTTACACCCTTGATTAAAACTCTTTAATGGTTTACAGATACTTTTAGGCTAAAGGGAAAAGTCTAAGAAGCTTACAAAGCCTTGCGATGGGCCTCTGAGGGTGCCATCAGCTTCATCTTCTGCCCCTTCCTTTCACATGCTAAGCTCTGCCTCCCCGCTGGCTATCTGTCACTTCTCTGAATAGGCCACATTTTCTGGCACCTCAGGGCCTTTGCACATGCTACTCCCACTTTCCAGAACGTCTTTGCCCATCCCTTTGCCACTCTGCCTTTGGACTTCAGTTAAAGCATTAACTCCTCAGAAAAGAATTTCCCAACTCGCCTCCAAGGTTGGACTAGATTCTCCTGTCAAATACTCTTCAGAGTATTCCATCCTTTTCTTTCACAATATTTACCATAGGTTTAAATGGAATGTTTGTGTGATCATTTGTTTAAAAATCTGTCTTTCATACTATAACAACTTATAAAGTTATAGAACTATAAAATGTTCTACTTTTTTTTTTTTTTTTTTTTTTTAGAAAGAGTCTCCCTCCATCACCAGGCCCCAGGCTGGAGTGCAATGGCGCGATCTTGGCTCACTGCAACCTCCGCCTCCTGGGTTCAGGCAATTCTCCTGCCTCAGCCTCCTGAGTAGCTGGGATTACAGGCACACGCCACCATGCCCAGCTAATTTTTTGTATTTTTAGTAGAGACGGGGTTTCACCATGTTGACCAGGATGGTCTCGATCTCTTGACCTCGTGATCCACCCGCCTCGGCCTCCCAAAGTTCTGGGATTACAGGCTTGAGCCACCGCGCCCGGCCTAAAATTTTCTACTTTTATAGGCTCTCTGAAGGCAGGGAGTGAGTGTATCTATTTTACTTTCTTATGCACCATTGCAATTCTAAAGCCTAGAATAATACAGGCACTCGATATTCACTGAATAAATAAAGGAATGAAAAAAGGAATAAATACAAGGTGGAGGTATCGTATAAAGAGATGATTTAAGTCACTATCTAGAGTCAGACATACTCAACTCAAACCATGACGCTGTGTAATATTAGGCAAGATATTTAAACTCTCTGAGGCTTAGTTTCTTCATCCATAAAATGAGGATCTTAATATCTACCTTACAAACATGTGAGGATTAATGTACGGACTTACAGTGCTTGAATGTATTAAGGGAAACAGGACATGAAAGCTCTGTTATAATTATCATCACCACTGCAAACAAATGCTGGCTGAATTCCACAAGTGCTGTGACTTCCTTCTCCTGCTTCTAGGATTTCTAATGGAGAGAAGCCAATCCTATGAATGGCTCAGAAATGACAGCAGCTGATTTCTGTCACCTGTCTGGAATGGGGCTCTTGGGGATAGATTCTCACGCTTTAAAAGACATCTAGATCACCAAGGAGCACATGTGAAAGTCCAGATTCCCGTTTCACCTCCTGAGCTCAGGTTCATTGAAGCTGAGGTGATATTTGGGAATCTGCCTCTTAGTAAGACCCTAGGTGATTATGATGCAGAGATTCCAAGGACCACGCTTTGGGAATTCTAGTACAATCATCCCTTGGTATCTGCAGGGATTGGTTCCAGGACTACTCACAGATACCAAAATTTGCAGATGCTCAAGTCTCTTATATAAAATGTCATAGTATTTACAATAACCTATGCATATCCTCTCATATACTTTAAATAATTTCTAAATTACTTATAATACCTAACGCAATGTAAATGCTATGTAAATTGCCATTACATTATAGTTTTATTTGTATTGTTTGTACTGTTGTTATTTTTTATTGTTGCTTTTTTAATATTTTTGATCCAAAATTGGTCGACTCCATGGATGTATAACCATGAATGTGAACTATGGTCATGGACAGCTGACTATATATAATTCCTCAAATTCTGACTCAGCCATCAACTTTTTCCCCAACTCCCCGACAGAATTTGTGCTGCATCCTCTCTGCTTCTGTGGTATTTTGCTCATATCTCAGCAACTGCCCCTATCATACATCTATCTCCAAACTAGCTTGTGAGCTCCTTCAGGACAGGAACTGTATTTGATCCATGTAGTCAGAAACTCTAACACAGTGCCTGGCATGTAGAAAGTAAAACCTCACTCCTGATTTCTACACCCCTAACCTACTGTCCCTGCTGTGTTCTCCACTGGAGTAACTAATAACATCATTTGCCCAGCTGTTCTGATAAAACACCTTGAGGTCATCCTTGACTTCTCTCTCACACAAGCCACATGCAATCCATCAGCAAGTCTTGTTTGTTTTACCTACAAAAATGTCCAGAATCCAATGACTGCAAATCACGTCCTGCTACAAGTGCTGACCCAGTCCTCTGCGCTCTCTTTCCCATACTGCCTAATCTCTCCGCTTCCATTCTTGTCACTATACAGACTACTCTCTACACAGCAGCTAGGATGAACTTTTTGTTTTAGGATGAACTTTTAATATACATCATGCTATGTCTCTGCTGTACAAAGTGATTTCCGATTTTACTTAGAAATGCTCCAGTGATGTCCCATTTCACTTAGAAGAGGCACGGTGGCTCATGCCTAAGTGGGATTCCAGCACTTTGGGAGGCTGAGGCAGGAGAATCACCTGAGGTCAGGAGTTTGAGACCAGCCTGGCCAACATGGTGAAAACCCATCTCTACTAAAAATACAAACATTAGCTGGGTGTGGTGGTGTGTGCCTGTAATTCCAGCTACTTGGGAGGCTGAGGCAGGAGAATCGCTTGAACCAGGGAGGCAGAGGTTGCAGTGAGCTGAGATTGTGCTGCTGTACTCCAGTCTGGGAGACAGAGAGAGACTCCATCTCAAAAAAAAAAAAAAAAAGGAAATGCTCCAGCAATGTCCCATTTTACTTAGAAGAAAATTTAAGTACTTACCATAGCCCCCCTTGTTCTGCACACCCACCATTCACCTCATCTCTTCTTTCTTACCATACTATTTTTCCTTACTGTTCCTTAGATATATCAAGCCTACTCCTGCCTTGGAGCTAGAGAGCTGTATGATTTACTTTCTCAATGTATCTAGGTCTCTGAGCTCTCCCACATCAGAGAATTCTAAAGTAACTACTCTCTCACATCACCCTCTGTAGTTGAAATGAACATCTTTCCTAAGCAAAGACAGTTACCTCTAAGGAATGACAGTGGGTCAAAGTGGGCTGGACATGGTCAGACATTTCTTCTACTCTCTTGACTTCTTTTGGGTCCAGTGTTTCTACCATTCTGTTTTCATCTGTGTACACGTAATGTTGAGTTAATGAGCTGCTGAAACCTTCTAGATTGAAGATAAGCAGGTCAGCCTCAGGACCAGGAGGAATGGTAGCAGTCGCTCTTGGTATCATCTGTTTGTTTTTCTTGCTTAGCAGCTCTGCCCTTGGTGATCCTGAATACAGACATAGTTTAAATCTTTGTTTTCACAGGACTTCTTGGGCCTACTTTATATGCTGAAGTCGGAGACATCATAAAAGTTCACTTTAAGAATAAGGCAGATAAGCCCTTAAGCATCCACCCTCAAGGAATTAAGTACAGTAAATTATCAGAAGGTAAGAGAAATTTAATATTTTTCTAAGGGAAAATGTCTAAAGTCCTTAATACCAGCATCAAACATTTAAAACTAAATTGTTAACCATGTGTTGTTGGGGAAATCTCTTGCAAATGGTAATTATAAAAATTGTTGTTGTAAGTTTCAAGAGAAGAAAAGGAAAATGTTTTGGAGTCCTCTAGACCTACACTTTTCACTGAGTTCTTATTCCTTAATGTTTGGGCGGACATATTACCTAATTTCTCTGAATTCTCACATGTTCATCTTAAAATGGGAATAATACATACATTGCAAGATGGTTTAAGGCAGGGGTCAGTAAATTTTTCTGTAAAGAGCCAGATAGTCAATTATTTTGGCTTTGCAGTTCATCAGATCTCTGTTGCCAGTACTCAATTCTGCCTTTTAGTGCAAAAGCAACTATAGACAATATGTAAATGAATGAGCAAGGTTGTGTCACAATACAACTTTATTATTTTTTTTATGGCTTCAGTTATAGATGCCAGAACTAATTAACTTTATTACCTATTCTTTCCCTCAAGTCATACACCAGAGTAAAATTGCCTCTGACAATACAAATTAATTTACAAAAACAGGCAGCTGGTTGGATTTGGCCCATGAGCCACTGACATAGTGACATAGGACTAGCCTGATAGAGGCTTCCTGGCACATAGATGACACTCAGTGAGTGGTATTTGGTGGTGGTGAGACAAGAAGTATTAATAGTATTAGAATTTTGGGCATAGTGAAGTGGTTAAGAAAATAAGCTTTAAAGGCAGACAAGCTAAAATGCTAGCTTTATCCTTTCTGATTCCATGACCTTAGCACCTCTGATCCTCAGTTTTCTCATCTTTAAAATGGAAATGATCATAACCACCTATAAGACTCCTTGAAATTTAAATGAGATCACTTACATAGAGTAATAAACATGGTTCCTGTGATCTGATAAGCTCTCAATAAAGAATGATGACAATGATGGCAATAATCATAAAGATGATAGTGAAGCAAATTATTTTATCAGCCACCGAGTAGTCAGTACTTGATGTTAATATGGGTCTAATTATCCCATTTTGCTGATGTTCAGATCATTGTAAGCATAGTAGAGTTCCATCAGGCACTGGTATAAAAGAATTGTATCCATATGGTAATAGTTGTTGGTATAATAACATTTTAAAATAATTTCAGAGTTTTCCTTCTCCCACATGTTTCAGCCATCATACCTTTGAGACAAGAATTGAGTAGGAGAGTGGTTTACAGTGCAGGTTTTAGAACTAGACTGATAAGTGCAAATCCCGGCTCAGATACTAGCTGTGTAAGTTTTATGAAGTTATTTAACCTCTGTATGCCTCAACTTTCTCATCTGTAAAATGAAAATAATAATCATATCTATGTCATACAGGTTTGTGGTTACCAAATCTTAGAATAATGCCTATCATATAACAGGTACTCAATAAATATTAGCTATAATAGTAAAGATAATTCTTCAATTAAAATGTGTTCAAATAATTTAGTATTTATCTGAAAACTTATTAGTTTCAGAAAAAAATCAGAAAGCGATTTTTACATTTATTATTTTCTATGTAAACTGTTGTCAAACTCATTCCCACTAAGGTATAAGTGACTGATAATAGGTCAACAACTACCTTCCTTAGGAGTATTTGCATTAGCACTTAATCTTTGGCTTGAGGAAAAACAATGAAGCATTAACTATGGCATTAGGATTTCTTCAAAAGTGAATTTGGCAAGACTGCATGAGGTAGTGTGCACAGGAGTTTCTCCTATGTTCTCAAAATCATACAGTGACATACATGAAATCAATCATACAGTGACATAGTGAACAACCACTTCACCTACTTATGAGACTTCCAGATGACTGCATCAGGAGTTCAGCAATGTAAAGAAGAGGGGGGAGAAACCTCAAAATATCAAAATGTCACATGCAGGTTTCATTTTAAACAAGGGAGGAGGTAAGAATTGTAGACTTTGTACCCTACTTGGGCTGTTTGCACAGTGAATGAACCTTGCAACATTATCCCTCTTCCTTTACTGTTTATTTGTCCCTCTATTCCCCACAGCCAGCAATTACTTATGAACACTTGCTTAATATGCTCCCACAACTTCCACATTCCATAGTGAATGTGGAGCATTCACTATGTCTCCACAATAATTATGGAGACATAATTATTGGTATATAATATTGCCTCCGGTCCTTTGACTCTAAGAAAGGTAAATACATATTGGTAGGAAAAGTAAAATCTGACCTTGGAAATGAGATGCGAATCTAGCAAACAGATAGTATCTTTTATGATAAAAGACAACCTTAGTTGACTTTATTATTCCCGCTGTGTTAAAACATCTCCTTCTCCATGTCTGACACGCACCCTCACCTATAGCCTCCCTCTATGGTTTGAGCTATTTTTTCAGGAGTGGGGATAAACTAATTGCATGCTGAGCCAGTTACATGAGAATCCAGATTCCTCTATCTCAGAGGTAGATATTTGAGAGATGGGTGGTAGAGGGCTAAGACAATATTCTATAGACTTGAGAAACCACAACAGAACATAAGACAAGTCTGGGTGACTCTTTTTGACAGAATGGAGAAATGGTGATTTATAAAAATGCTTATAAGGACATTTCCTTTAATAATGTATTTAGTAAGACTGTTATTACATCAGGGAATAAAATATCTGTAACTAATCACTTAAAAACTATCACTAAAAGGGTTTCAATCTGAGGTTAAATTTTCAGAAACTCTATAACTAGCATGCACCAAATTGATTGACCATAATGCTGCATCTTTGAGCAAAGTTTGTTGTTCAGTAACATTTTCAAAGTTGTTTTGTTCAAGAACCTTTAAAAAGTTTGCTTCATGGAGAATTTAATATTATTTTATTTATATTCTCGTATTTTAAATGTATGAGTTGCATATGAATATTGTGTTGCAAAATTAGTTCTATAACATATAGCTATCTACTGGTAAGCCAGCTCTCCAAATAAAACATGTTTTCTGCCAGACACTGTTATTTGTATGTAAGTGTTGCCAAATTCTCTGCACAAAAATTTACTCTTCTAGATTTTTCCAAAACATTCCAATGCTTGACATAATGTAAGTGATTACATTTTTTCACTTTTCATCTGAATATTTTGACCTTACGTTGACACTTCCTTGAGTATATTATGAACACCTGAAACAAACTATAATGGCTATAGTTTCTATATTTTATAAATCACAAAAATGTAGATCCCTTTTCCAAAGAGACTTTTAAGTCCTGTACAATGAAATCAGCTCTTTATAAAACGTCAGCATTGATTTGCCCATTGCCTACTTTATAACTTCTAGAAGAATGTTCTGAATCTTTGAATGCATTGAAGCATTCACTAAGTTTATTAACTTAGGAGAGGAAAAGAGTTGTTCACAAAAATAAGTAACAAGGGAAGAGTTACTGAATGAGCACTCTTTTTGGGTAACCAAAATGGCTCTTTATGTAGCTTCACTTTTCCAAAGCTTATATGTACCATTTTACATTAAAAAAAAATACTGAGAGCCTTTGGCAAGTAATTAGTACATTATGACAAGAGTAAATACAATACAAAGCTATTGACTGAGCAGAAAATGAACAGAACTGAATAAATACAAATGAATAGCTACCCTTGTGTAAAGAATTTATTCTAGCAAGAAGCTGAACAAGGAATTTTTGTACTCTAGCACAATAGTAATCCTCATCCATTTCTCTTCTGTGCAGTTTAGAGCTTTAATTTTTAATTTTGATTACAAAGTCAAAATACATTCACCAAAAATGCATTTCACAAATGCTTCCTCTAAATAGCTGTTTGTATTTCATACTTTATAATAATGTATGTTACAAAATCAAATATATAACAAACCTATTTTATTCTAGACTACAGGTAAAATAATTTGAAGTGAGAAGAATAAAAGCATTGATAAAATTATACCTCAATTATCTCATTAGCAGTCCTCACTCAGTGTAATTATAGAATACATCCTATGTGTAAGTCTATATTGTTTGCTATTTGTTTCAAAACGCTCATAATTCAACTTTTAGTAGTATACTAAACTTAATTGACATCATTCATTTAATTATTTGAAATTCATCTTATATTTAACTGACAGATGAATGTGAAATTCTGAGTAATTTAGTTTGGTCAATCAGATAGACTTTGTGTGACTAGAGTAACCTTTCATTATCTATCTCAAAATATCATGTACTCAAATATATACAGTAACTTTTTAAGCCCACTTTGTGTTAAAATAAACTTAGATGTGAAACATTGATCATTTACAAATAAGTTCAATATTTTTAGAAAATCAGTCACCCTGCTATATCCAGCACAAGTGTTATAGCATCTTGGGCAATTTTTAGATCTTATATTGGTTGGTTCTCATTCCAGATTGACAGTGTGTTCCAATTATAGCCCTAGAAGAAATCTAGACGACAAACCTATCAAAATCAGAGCACCAACATGTACCCTACAGTTAACTAGGCTGAGCCCCTCAAGGGCCCAGGCCCTGTCTTCTTTACGTTTGTACTGCGGCATTTAGCACCGAGTCTGGAAGCTACAGGGTGATGATGGTCATGATGATGATGATATTAATCATTACTGAACAAAACTGAGAGACTAAATACTGATTAGAAAGTAGCGACTATATGCTATTTTCCCCCTTGTTTTAAAATTATTGATTTTGCTGATAATTTTGATCAGGTACCTTGTCTTACTTATTACCATTTTTAGTACCTTTGGAATAGATACATCACTGCTATGGACTGGATGTTTGTGTCCTCCCAAAATTCGCATGTTGAAATTTAACCCCCAATGTGATGGCATTAGGAGTTGGGGCCTTTGGAAGATTTTTAGGTAATGAGGATGAAGCCCTCATGATAAGATTAGTGCTCTTTTGAAAGGGACCCTCTCATTTGCCCTCTTTCTACCATGTGAGGATACAAGGAGAAGATGGTAGTCTACAATCTGGAGAGACCCCATACCAGAACCCAACCATGCTGGCACCCTGATTTTAAACTTCCAGCCTTCAGAACTATTAGAAAGAAATATCTGTTGTTTATAAGCCACTCAGTCTAGGGTACTTTGTTACAGTAAGCCAAACTAAGAAAATCATTAATTTCTATCTTACTCACATGTGGTACAGAACTCAAGAACACTGAAGATACATCTTATCCAAAGTCAAACATAAAGGAAAGAGGCTGTATTAACTGCAACATGGCTGGGAAAGAAAATAGTAAACCAAAATGGGAACATGTATTCCCACAGGCTACCACGGCATTTGTTAGGTGCCAGAAATTTTACAAATATTTTCCAGTACTCATAACCCATCAAAAAGGATAACGTTATCTCTAGAAAAAAGGGATTATATTATCTTAAATTATGAGTGAAAAAACTGAGGCTAAAAGGGACTTAAAGAAACGTTCCCATGTTCACACAGTTAGCAAATGATACAGCAATCAAAACATTTCAACTCTGAACTTTCTTCCACCTTCTCTCTCCATGTTGTATCATGGTTATTGTTTCCATGCACACTATCTAGCAGGAGAAAGTATCATTAACCATATAATCTCACAAATACTAAATTACAAATCGTGATAAGTACTGTTAAGAAAAAAACCAACAAACAAACATAGATTATAATCAGAGATGAAGAAAGGTGTAAGATGATATTTGAGCTGGCATGTGAAGGGTGAGCACACATTTACCCAGAAAAAGGAAGGAAAGAAGAACTTCAAAAGTTATCTCCTACCCTGCAAAGAATATAATGTTTTATCCTTTTGGGAGCTTGTGAAGGCTGTGGAAAGACTATCATTTTCTATTATAGAAACCCCCTCTGATGTTTTAACGGTTGAAATAGTGGAAGCTTTGTGTCCAGAAACATCATTTTTCAACTTTATGAGGCTATGTAGCAAGAAGCATTGAAGAAGGGCTGTCATGCTTGATTCAAGATAGAAGTGCAGCTCATGAACTAGCCATGCTAATTCCTGTTAATACACAAGGTCTGACCTGAGAGGGCAACTCTCCTTATCAGTCCTGTTTGTACTCTGCTACAGAAGCTCTTTTGCAATCTTTCAGAGATAATGCTTCCTGCTTATCAGTGGAGATGCTTCCTCCATAAACTTTTTTCTTTTGTGGACTAGAATTGTGTTATAACTTACAGGAAGTGAGTTAAGCTTTTATCATTTATCAGCTCCTGACAACTTTATTATCAAAGTGAAAGTACGGCCTGTAGTAATTATTAGTTATTAGTGTCAAGCTATCCTTTGGAGTGGGTTGGGGGAAGACATAATGAAGTCCACTTTATGCTAGCACAAAGTTCACAAACTCAGATTTTTTTATGAATTGAGGAAACAGAGTTTGGACTTTGGAGAAGCCCAAGTGGCTAGAATTTGGTTGTAGGGCAGAATTCTAGAGAGGACAGTATAATCACAGAGAAAGAGCTCTTGAGAATCCACAGAGAGGATTTGTCAAGTTGAATACTGATGTGCACATACATGTGAGGAAAGTACTGAGGGTAAGAAACACGTTACTTGAAAGAACAGGTGCAACAGTCCCTGGATCTTACACAGGGCCAGCAATAGTTTATGTTCCTACCATCAAAAGTAGTAAGATCGCCTAATAAATGAGCATTGGATAGAATTCTCAGAAGGATTTAGAAACAGTAGGTGGATAAAATTAGTCTAGACTACAGGCTGCTGAGGAGGTAATAGAATAAGAAATAAGATTTGAAAGAATCGAGTTGATTTCAAGTATCCTAACTGTGAATAAAACTCAATACTAGTTAACAAGAATGCAACAAACAGCAAAGTAAATTCACAATCTTAATACAAGCACTAGAAGAAGCAGAAAGAGATGACTCATAACCAGGAAAAAACCTAACAGATTTAGAAGTGAAAGAGAGGACAGAAGCAGCAGGCAGAGACATTATGACAGCTATCAGAAAGCTTCCCAATATGTTCCAGAAAGTAGAGAAAAGCATGAGCATGATGAGGAGATAGAGAATATAAATATGCATACACAGAACTGAAGTAAATAAATACAATCGCTGACATGGTAAGTAAAAAATAAATAAATAGAAAATAAAGGATAAAAAATTATATATTGTAAACTGAAGGGCACCACAAATAAAAACAAACACTGGATGAAATTAACAGCACATTAGACACTGTGAAAGAACATAGTAGAACATATTAATACATCACAATAGAAATTGTGCAAAATGAAATACAGAGATTAAAAAGTCTGAAGAAAGTGAACAGAGCATCAGTGAACTACGGGACCATATCAAGTGATCTAACATATGTGTAACTGGATCCCAGAAGAAGCAGGAACAGAAAAAACGTTTGAAGAAATAATGACTGAAAACTTTCCAAATGTAATGAAAACTACTAACCAACAGATTCAAGAGATTTGAAAAAACCAAGAAGGAACGTGAAGAAAACCACACCAATCCACATCATAATCAAGTTGCTGAATACCAGTGATAAAGAGAAAATACTGGAAGCAGTGAGAGATCAAAAGACACACCATATACAGGGGAACAGAAACAAGAAATGATAGCAGACTTATCATTAGAAACTAACCAAAACGGAAGACAATTAGGGACATTTTTAATGTGTTGGGAGGGTGGGGGATAGGGGAATCTATCTACTATTCTATACCAAGCAAAAATATCTTTTTAAAATGAAGGTAAATAAAGAGTGTTTTAGACATACAAACATGAAATAATTTCTCACTAGCAGAACAGAAAAAAATGTTAAAAGAATTCCTTTAGATAGAAGAAATATTATATCAGAGAGACATTTAGATTCATAAGAAGGAATGAAAAGTTCCAGAAATGAATAAATATAGACAAAATTTTCCTCATTTTAATCTGTTAAAATGACCATTGATTATCTAAATGTTAAAGTAAAAATAGTAACAATTTATTGTGGAGTATATTATGTATATATAAGTAAAATGCATAACAATAGCACAAAGGTTGGGAGGGAAGAAAAAGAAATATTCCATGCTTCTTATAAGTGAAATAGTATAATATTACTTGAAGGAAGTCTGTGACAAGTTACAAATGTATATTGTAAAGTGAAGGGCACCACTAATAAAACAAAGCTAGCAAGCCAACAATGGAGACCAAACATCATTAAATATACTCAATCCAAAAGAAAACAAAAAGGAAGGGAAAAGGAATAAAGACCAGATAGACAAAGAGAAAATGCATATAAGGATGGCAGTTTTAAATTTAACCATATCATTAATTATATTAAAAATAAATGGAAAGAACACCACAATTAAGAAACAAATAAGATTGAATTAAAAGCAATGCTAAACTGTATGCAGAATTTCAGAAATCCACTTTAAATGAGACAAAGATAGGTAAAAAATAAAGGATGGAAAAATATATACCATACCAGCTAACACTAATCACACACAGAATGGTATTTAGTAATTATGTCATTGATATGACATTACAGAAAAGACAAATTATAGTAAAATAAAGCAGATTAGCGGTTGTCTGGGCCTGGAGCGCATTGGTTGCAAACGGCACGAGGAAATGTTTTGGAACGATGGAACTCTTCTCTATCTTCATTGGGACTACAGCTATAAGACTGTGTGCTTTTTTAAAATCAAAGCTCAGCAAATATTATACTTAAAACTGGTCAATGTTATTGTATGCAAATTATACCTCAATAAAGATAATGGAAGGAAGAAAGGGGGAAGGAAGGTGGGGAAGAGGGAAGGAAAGAGGCAAAGAAAGGAAGAAAGGAGAAAAGAAAAGAAATTAGGAACAGAAAAAAGAAAGGGAAGAGAAATAAGGGGAGGGAAGGAGAGGGGAGGGACTATGCATTTCAGTTTTTCACAAAGTATAGTTGCTTCAGTAAGAGTAGTTTTTAATAGCTTTTTATCCCATCATGTAAAACATTTCAGGCTTTTTTTTTTTTTTCCCCAGATCCTTGTTATCTGCCTACATCTACTCTGATGGTCTCACCTTCTTTTCTTAAAGAATTTGTCAAGTTGATTGTACCAAACAAAAATAACTGCATCCCAAAGAGAAATTCTGGCACTAGCTGATGATAGGGAATCTTTCACCTAATTAAATGAGGGATTCCTCAGGCATAGGAAACTGCCCATTCCACTTGGCTATCTATGGCACCCACCTCTCCCCTTCCTGACCTCACTTGCTCCATTTTATTATTGAAAGCCCCACCCAACCCTTTACACTTCTTTTAATATTGAGCAACTCAGTTCCCTCTCTTCATTAAGGAAGATCAGTTTCTTCATTCTCTCCCTCTCCTACCAATAGGGAAAGTCCAATATACGTGAAGGCATTAATGGTGGGTCTTTGGGTGCACAAAGAACAGAAGTAAGACATCCAAGTTTCAGAGGATGGACACATTTCGTATTCATACAGACAACCAGACTGCATATGGGAGTGAGACTCTGTGGCACTGGGGAAAAAATTGAGATAATCAGATGGCTAAGATGAAATAAAGAGATAAAATAGAGCTGAGGATCACAGAAGTTGGAAAGAAGATCTGAAATAGCAAAACAAAACAATATAACAACAGCTCTGACTATCCTCCCATTTTGTCTTAATAGGCTGAGTATGTCTTGTTAAATACCACAAAGAAGATATAGCCCATTCTTATATTCTGAGATGATTTACTGATCAAAGGTGATTCAATTATCTGATTATATTTAAATAATAATTGTTCAGGTACCCTGGAAAATTAACTTGCTAAACCTTAATTTACAAATAACTTTTGTCATTCTTAAGATCACCATTGTATCAAAGCCTTTATAACTACATGGGCATAGAAATGGGAATATGTGAATCTTCCCAAATAGTAAAAGTTCATTATTGAAGGACATATGAATCTCCGGGGAGCTTATCTTAGCTATCCCCAGATTTGAGGGTGGTGAAAACACAGTCCGCAGAAACTGCCCACATGTCTTGATGGCTCTTACTTCCCAGGTGCTTCTTACCTTGACCACACATTCCCTGTGGAGAAGATGGATGATGCTGTGGCTCCAGGCCAAGAATACACCTATGAATGGAGTATCAGCAAGGACAGTGGGCCCACCCAAGATGACCCTCCATGTCTCACACACATCTATTACTCCCATGAAAATCTGATCGAGGATTTCAACTCTGGGCTGGTTGGACCTCTACTCATCTGTAAAGAAGGTAAGAACACCTCCACCAAAAGATTCAACAATGAAATGTTGGAATGGTCAGGAGTTCTGTCATGGGACAATGCTTGGGAACAGCTTGGTAACTTCTTGTACATCAAGCAGAGGAAGAGGGCATGGAGACCAGATCATTGCCTGGCAGGAGAAGAAACACCTGTTATTTCAGGGTGTGGATCCACCTCTGCCTCTTCTCATTCCTCCTTCATCTCAGTCCTCAAGATTCTCCCATGCAAATTCCTGTTTGAGAGTGTGTTCTGATGTCATGTTTGTATGATCTGTAACATTTACGTCAAGGCCGAAGTCTTTTAGAAAGTCTACAGCAACCTATACTCTCCCGAAAGAGCTCTTAAAGAGAACTTTGGCTAACATATCTGACATAGCTGAGGTTTGGGCTGGTAATTTGGTCTATAAACACGTTAAATGCCAGCTTCCTTTCTTATAAACAAGCTGAACACGTTGGGTGGTAGGTTTCAAACACACTCAAGTGACTTTACAAGAACTTTTATTGGCTGGGCTTCTTAGAAGCAAGCTTGGATCTTCATTTTACCCCATGAGAATCCAGCCCATCTTTCATTAAAACAAGCAAACAACCACAGTGAGCCATAGCATAGGAAATAACGTCATGGACTCACCATCTGTCTGTACATACACCCAGACCATACTTATATACCTTCCCAATGCATTTACTCATTATACATTTTTTTTTCATTCCCTAGTATACACAAGATACCGTGAGGGTACTGCAAAAACACTTAAAACTTATGAAAGGCTCTTCTTTCATTTTACCATCAGCAGCATGTTTTTCTCATAGTGAGAATGAATTAATGCTAATACTCCCAACCAATTCCCTAATGTCTATTTTCATATACAAATAAGATGACAGCATTAAACTTGGGGCATGATGCGTTTACCAACTGAGCTAATGTATCTATATACTGGTCTATTGAGACCGGAGGAAATGGATAGTTTCACAGTTTGAGAGTCACCAAATGTTTTCTTTCCAAACTGGATGAAGTAAAGCCTGTTCCCCAAGGCAACAAGGTGTCAAAGAAAACAGTGTGGCACAAGATTTTTAATAACCCTAGAACCATTATTACTTGATAAATATGCAATTTTTAAAAATAAGAACTTCCTCAAGTCGATATCATTATGGTTGATTGCTTGCCCTAAACTCTTGGCTATCCAGGAAAGCTAATGAGTCTTCTATCTGCAGTGCTACTGAAAATATGTCTTTCCTTTCATAGGGACCCTAACTGAAGATGGGACACAGAAGATGTTTGACAAGCAACTTGTGCTACTGTTTGCTGTGTTTGATGAAAGCAAGAGCTGGAGCCAGTCATCATCCCTAATGTACACAGTCAACGGATATGCGAATGGGACAATGCCAGGTAACGTGCGGGGTGTGCACCATTCAGCAACAGTAAAATTGTTAGTAATTCTTCGATCCTGTTGTTTTCTTCAACGCACTAGGGAAGCTGATCTTACTCAATATTTTGCAGCTCCTTATCAAGAAGGTAATGTTTTCTCATCTGTTTCTTAAAAAACAGGAAATATAAGAGACAAATTAGAAGCTAGAGAAGAAATGTGCAGCCTTGTTAGATACAGTGATCTGATTAGGTTTCACCTTGGCCTGTACTTTCAAAAAGACCTTCAGGGTATCAGCTCAGCCTCTCTCTCTGAGTTCTGCAGTTCCTACTATATGATGACCATGCCTTCTTCAAGGACAACCCTTAGCAGGAAGGGTCAACAGAAAGATTGCATAAAGACAACTGCAGTGAAGATGAACAGATTAGAAGTAATCCCCAACACACAAAAATACTACCAGCTTTTTAAAAGGTGATAGAAGAGTCATACTCAATGGCATCTAGAATGTTTTCTCTTTCTATCTGCGTTTGGACTCTTGTGAGAAAGTAAAATCATAGCAACCATTAAGAGAAAAAATAACTTACTCCCACTTAGACCACATCTTTTCTATTTCTCTCTGGTAGAACTGACCTACAACTAAAAATCCAGTGTATATTACACTAGCTTGAGAGAAAAATACTAAAAAATGAAAATGTCACTTTACTAAATAGGCCATATTTCAAAACACTAAACTTCTTAGAGGTTCTTCTCTAATGCCATCTGAAAACCACAAATGGCTTCACTGGCTAAAACACAGTATTTGTTAAGAGTTGGGGTCTAGGTAGTGTTTTTAAATTGTATTCTATTTCATTTGACTACATTTTCTACTTGGTTTTTGGAAAGTATACTCCTATGACTCTCGGTATTGATCCCGCATTCCAGTACCAGGAGCTTGTAAAACCTGGGGCTTAGTTGACTGGCCTCAACCTTAAAAAATCTGAGTTCAGACCTCACTCACTTCTCTACCTTCTGTGGCCCTTGACAATTAGTTGTGCTTACTTAGAAAAGAACACTACCCATTTATCCTAATAACTATTTCCTGGCAGAGTGAACAATCTGTGTAAGTATATGGATGCCAAAAAAGGCAAAACCATATGCACAAAAATAAAAATAAATTGATCTAAGCTTAGAGCTTAGGAATTTATAGTTCTCAAAAGAATAATTGGGGGTAAATGGGACAGGGTAGGGAAAGACCATTAGTGGAAACTAAGAATAGTAAACATTGGTAAAACCATCTGCCTTATAAAGCAGAATAAATTGAATAAATATGATAAATGCTAATACAGATATGTTAATTGCTGAACTCAACATGAGCATTTCCTTGGTGTGCATAAATGCTTCCACCAAAGCCTCCTACCTTGTAGCTTTTTGATCTCAGATTCTAGCTTCTATTTCTTACCAGTTATACAAGGAATCCTGGCTTTGTTGCTGACACACAGCAGGTGCTCAATACATTCGGTGAGTGAATGTTTGATCACAGAATACTTGACTGAATGCTTATTTTGGCCTGTATCTCTCTCTGTTTCTCAGATATAACAGTTTGTGCCTATGAACACATCAGCTGGCATCTGCTTGGAATGAGCTCAGGGCCAGAATTGTTCTCCATTCATTTCAACGGGCAGGTCCTGGAGCAGAACCATCATAAGGTCTCAGCCATCACCCTTGTCAGTGCTACATCCACTACTGCAAATATGACTGTGAGCCCAGAGGGAAAGTGGATTATATCTTCTCTCATCCCAAAACATTTGCAAGGCAAGAAACTCTCCTGACAGTCTTGCTTCTGAATACAGATTCCTTTCTTCCCAGGCACTAACTCCCTCTTTCTGCCTTGCACTTTCAAGCCACCTGCACCCCAGACAAACATGCCTTGGTTCCTAACAACTAAACTTAGATACTCTGCTCTTAGATTTATAAATTGCTTTTGGGGGATGGAGAAAGTAAAAGAATTGACAAATATTTTTTTAAAAAATTAAGCAAAAACTGAAAAGGTCTCTAACTTCCTTGATTAAAGAAAGGAGGAAGGAAACAAATCCATAAACAGATATTCTTTCTTGGGATTACTTCATATGTAGCCAGAGAAAAAGACCTAGGTGCTAGCACAAAACAAACATCTGCCAATTTACAGAGGCACTAAGTTATGGAAAGTGTGAAAGTTTAGCTTGAAACCATTAACCTTTACAGTGGCATGAATAAAAAGTCTAGCATGGAGAGGAGCTCAATGAATGTGTGTTGAATGGATCATACCTAGCATCTAAACAGCTGAGGGGTGAGCTCTAAAGGACACTGGTGAATTCAAATGGGAAAATAAACCAGCCCAGGTTATGTGGTGTCATGTAAACAAAATAACTGTTCTACTACACATTGTTGCTGAAAAACTGTTGAGAGGAGGGTTCATGTAAACAGAGACTAAAATCTAAGTAAATTATATCACTATAGGAATCATTATAAGCAATACATATAAGGAGGAGATAATGTATAAGCAACACATATAAGAAGGAGATACTTCATGAGATCATTTCCATTTCTTTTCACATGGGCAGCCAAAATTATATTTGAAGTAATAAAACCATCCCAATATCTGTGAAAGATAGAGTTCCCGATAATATTAAAACAAACTTTTGTTTTTTGTTAAGGATAAGTACATTATGTATTGCTATTAATATTTAATTTTTAACAACAATCTCATTAAGTACTAGTGCTTTGTTCATTTTACAGATTAAGGGAGAGATGACAGAAAAATGAGAATTCAACAAGACATAATTCATAGGGTCTTAAGAAGTTGAAAATTATAATAAATTTGCCTGCTCAAGGAGAAATAAAGGGAATCTTTCCAAGTTTTTTCCCCTAACCCCTCTTCTTTTCCTCCCTTTTTAAATTTTTGCCCTTTCTGGATGCCACAGAATGAGTTCCAAACTAAAATCTTCAAAAGTCGCCTTAGCATTACTTTCACTGTTTCTATATAAATATAAATCTTCCACAAATTGATTTAAAGGATATGCATTTCCATCAACCATAATTTCTTCTCTCAAGTTATTTCATTGTCTTGCTGTCCTAACTCAGCTGGGATGCAGGCTTACATTGACATTAAAAACTGCCCAAAGAAAACCAGGAGACTTAAGAAAATAACTCGTGAGCAGAGGCGGCAAATTAAGAGGTGGGAATACTTCATTGCTGCAGAGGAAGTCATCTGGGACTACGCACCTGTAATACCAGCGAATATGGACAAGTGAGTTGTTGGGGTTCATACCACTGGGCAAAGATTCAAGATACATTCCATAGGGCCCTAGATGTTTGGGGGTGAAATGTTATAAGTCGACAGCTCTCAAGGGGACATGTATTGGTTTCTATTTAAGTCTTCTTGTAAAAATTAATCTTGAATTACTCCCAAATCACCAAAGAAATTCAGCCTAATCATTATAAACATAACAACAGCAGCTGCCACTTATTGAATGCTTGCCATTGGCAAGCACTGTATTAAACCCTTTCTGAAAGCTTCACTTCAATTCTACCAACCAGATAATGCTCTTATTTATTTTTATAGATGAGGAAATGGGTCAGAGAGATTAAGAGATTTGGAAATTCAAATGGCTCTTAAACACTTGAAAAGTTACTCAACTTCACTCATAATAAGAGAAATGCAAATTAAACTTCACAGAAATACTATTTTTATCTAACAGATTCACAAATCCAGATGACATCATCTGTTGACTAGGCTGTGAGAAATAAGCACTATCATATATTGCTGGTGGAAGATTAAATTGGTAAAGAGATTCTGGAGGATAACTTGGGAATATGAATCAAAATTCTAAATGCATAAACCCTTTGACTCAGCTATCTCATCCTGGAAATCTAACTATACAGATATACTTGTTCACAGGTGAAATGATGTATGTACAACATATTCACTGCTACAATGTTAGTAGTAGTAAGATTGGAAACAACTCAAAATGTCAATCATTAGGAAACTAGTTTAATAAATTGTGATGCATTCATACAGTGGAATACTAAGCATCAAAAAAAGAGGATGCAAACACTCTATATGTACTAATACAAAAAGTTTTCCAAGATATGTTATTAAATTGAAAAGTTGGGATATAATCTAGCATGTATATATAGCTGCCTTTTGTTAAAGAATATTTATATTTGCTTATTTGTAAGACACATTTGCATTTATTTTCATAAAGATATTCTGAAATTATACACATGAAATTAATATGTGGCCACCAAGAAAATTGAGGGACGGCTAGGGAGGTCACATTGATGGTTATCAGATATAAGTAAGAGTTTTTACTGTAATAAAAATTATGCAAATGTATTTTCTATTAAAAAGAATTAAACTAGGAAAAAGAACCAAATAAAAAGAACTTTAACCAAGGGTATAAAATTGGTGACAGAACTGAGATAGGAATCCAGGAGTGTTTGGCAACAGTCACTGCTTTCCACTGTGTAAAATAAATTCATAAAATAGACAGATACTCTATTTTGAAGGATTGCTGGGTTAAATGATATTTCTGACTTTAGGTCTTTGCAGAATTGCCATACTGTCTTCCACAATGGTTGAACTAATTTACAGTCCCACCAAGAACGTATATGTGCTCCTTTTTCTCCATAACCTTGCCAGCAACTGTTGTTTCTTAACTTTTCAATCATCCTCATTCTGACTGGCATGAGATGGCATCTCATTGTGGTTTTGATTTGCATTTCACTAATGATCATTGATGGTGAGCTTTTTAAAATATGCTTTTTGGCTGCATATAGTTGCTTTTGCAAACTAAGGCAATAAAAGGGCAGGGGAAAAATGGTTCATGTTGCTGCTCCTGAAGTATTTATCTCAGTAGCTACAAAAAATGGGTGAAGGAGGTTGTTTTTCAATCATCTCTGAGGATTGGTTAGATGGTGGAAGAAAGCCCAAGAGCATAGAACTATAATTAATAGTGCTAGTAAAGGCTTCCTGGGGTGAGAAGATGCTTTTAGGGATTAAAAAATGCTTTCAAAACCAAAAAGGCTATCATAGATTAAGTGATAGGAGAGACTTTAGAAAAATTTGTAGTATCCTTTCATCCAGTATATGCCTTTTCCCAGAGATATCAAAGGTCTGCTGTCTCAGTGAGAATGATAGGAAGATCTAAGTAGCTGCTTCTAACCAATTACCTATGACTTTTATCAGTGATGCAAGAGGCAACTTAGAAGTTTCCAATCTTTCAACTGACAGAAAACATCAGGACTTTGCAAGCTACACTAAGAAATTTTTAGAGAACTAGCAGAACTTATCAGCACAAGCGTTTCCCCCATCCTACTGACATCTCTATTTGAGAAAGTGGCTTAATTTTTTAAAATTTTGTTTCACCTTAAGAAAATACAGGTCTCTGCATTTGGATAATTTCTCAAACCGAATTGGAAAACATTATAAGAAAGTTATTTACACACAGTACGAAGATGAGTCCTTCACCAAACATATAGAGAATCCCCATATGAAAGAAGATGGGATTTTGGGTCCTATTATCAGAGCCCAGGTCAGAGACACACTCAAAGTAAGTAACAGAAATACAGAATCATTGGAGAAATTAAATAGCAAAATATTACAAAGTACCTGGTTATTTTTTAATTTTAAAAGAAAAAGGCATTCATATAATTTTAAATTCAAATGCAACTTTTAGTTTTTATTTAATATTTGCATTAATTTATAGCCTACTTAATAATACAAAGGATCTGAGATAATTTCTCAAATTATAAAGGCATAAAACAAAGAGTCTATGTAATTGGGATAGAGTATGGGGACAAAGAAAATAAAGCCACAGATAAATAGCTACCGTGTGACCCTGTAAGTCTGTCTTCAAATTTTGTCCTAAGCTTTATAGCAGCCAGTGTAAAAAAGAAAATATGGCCGGGTGCGGTAGCTCATGCCTGTATTCCTAGCACTTTGGGAGGCCAAGGCAGGCGGATCATGAGGTCAGGAGTTCGAGATCAACCTGGCCAATATGGTGAAACTCCTATCTACTAAAAATACAAAAATTAGCCGGATGTGGTGGCATGCACCGGTAGTCCCAGATACTCGGGGAGGCTGAGGCAGAAGAATCGCTTGAAGCCGGGAGGTAGAGGTTGCAGTGAGCCAAGATTGCACCACTGCACTCCAGCCTGGGTGACAGAATGAGACTCCATTTCAAAAAAAAAAAAAAAAAAAAAAAGGAAATATGTCAGGGTGAGGTTTACATCATCTACAAAAAGAAAGCTTCATTTACCCTGATATTAAGATCTAAGAAAAATTTCTTTAATGAATTCTTCAAAAGAGAGTGCTGAGTGATACAGTGGATGGTATCCTTAACAAAATTCTTATAACTGGCATAATAGATTAAAAGTTGCAAAGCTTTTAAAAATAATGTTTCTCATTATAGCTAAGAACATAGCAGTAAACATAATTGAACAGAAACAATTTTTACTCAAACATTTTTTAATGTAGTCTAGGTATGGTTGGACTCTTATGAAGGTCAACTCCATGTATCAAGAACATGGAGTTTTTCTCAGGCAGTTCTTCTTAAATGTCATGTCACTTCACCAAGCTAGATAAGAATTAGACAGCAGAGAATTGAGGGTTGCAACCTTTGACAAAATCCTAGAATGCAGATAATCTACTGACAAAGGATGATCCAAAGGCTTTGATAATCAACCAAATAAAAGATAAGATTAAGGTTCTCTTTTGTAAATTAAAGAGACTGTCTAGGACTCCTGTGTGTATAATTCATCTGACAAGGTCTATTCTGTTCATTTAAAATACCCAAAGGACAAAAGCATTTTTTTTTTTCTTCATGTGTCTTTCCCTTCTTCCATTTCTGATCTCTTTTATATGCTCTTAGCAAGTATAGACATACCTCATGAGAAGTTCAGGATCTGGCTATTGTCTGTGCCTCTCAAGAAAGTGGCTTTTTTTTTTTTTTTTNAGGGTCTTACTCCATTGCCCAGGCTGGAGTGCAGTGATGTGATCATGGCTCGCTGTGGCCTCTGCCTCCTGGGCTCAGGTGATTCTCCTACCTCAGCCTCCCAAGTAACTGGGACTACAGGCATGCACCCCAATGCCTGGCCAATTTTTGTATTTTTTTTTGTAGAGACGAGGTTTTACCATGTTGCCCAGGCTGGTCTTGAACTCCTGAGCTCAAGTGATCCACCTGCTTTGGCCTCCCAAAGTGCTGGGATTACAGGTTTGAGTCACTGTACCCAGCTGAGAAGATGACTTTAAAGACAGTATCCTAAAAAATCTGCCAGGCATGGGAAGGGGATCATGGTCTAGAAATGAGGAGCAGATTCGAAATGAGATTTGGCACAAGCTGAAAGGAGAAGGACAGGCGAATGGGGACCTGCTTTGAGAGGGTGATACTGTGAGGAAAACGTCACTTCTCCTAACCTATCCTCTAAAGTCAGACTTCGCTTCCATTTTCCACCTTAATATGTGAGTGGAATATGCTCTCCGATGCTCCTTCCAGGTGATGAGGGGAGGTTACTGCCGATAAACAGATCTAATTTTCCCAGTGTGTGTACACACACACCACCCAAAAGGGGAATATGCAAAGCTAGCATCTTACATTCGTTCTCATGATCAACCTGAAATCCTAGAATAAATTTGATCTAACTTTGTAGATCGTGTTCAGAAATATGGCCAGCCGCCCCTATAGCATTTATCCTCATGGAGTGACCTTCTCGCCTTATGAAGATGAAGTCAACTCTTCCTTCACCTCAGGTTTGAATCTTTCACTTCTACTGAATCCCACTAGTGGCTTCTGAGAGGCTGTCATGTTTTTCTGCTATTCTCCTTGCCCAGTGGTGTCACTACTGAAGTCAGGGAGTATACACGTACGAGTATCCTAAAAATCACCCTTTTCACTTAAGAAATTTCATCTGGTGTCTTTTATTAGTGTCATAGCGGCCTCTACTGGAGCAGTATCTAATGGCTACCTGCTATCCAGGTTCCAAGCAGAATATTCAAAGAATTCATTTTGCAATATTAATCGATTCTAACGAAAGCTCAATTATTCATTTATTTATTATCATTGAAATAACTTTGCAAAGGAAAATAATGTTGAATACATTTTCTTTCAGGCAGTAACACCATGATCAGAGCAGTTCAACCAGGGGAAACGTATACTTATAAGTGGAACATCTTAGAGTTAGATGAACCCACAGAAAATGATGCCCAGTGCTTAACAAGACCATACTACAGTAACGTGGACATCATGAGAGACATCGCCTCTGGGCTAATAGGACTACTTCTAATCTGTAAGACCAGATCCCTGGACAAGCGAGGAATACAGGTATTTTGTCCTTGAAGTAACCTTTCAGAAATTCTGGGAATTTCTTCTGGCTAGAACATATTAGGTCTCCTGCCTACATAATGGGGCTTTTCCTTCAAGAAAACAGTAAATATCAAGTAGTCCTTTTTAGCACCAGTGTGATAACATTTATTCTTTGTTTTTTGTCTTGTCTATTTTTTTTTTTTTTTT